TTGCATTGCCAATGGAATTTCGTTTTCGGAGTCACTGAAAATGTTACAGAAGGCTTACGGTGAATCGACTTTATCAAAAACACGTGCTTATGAGTGGTACAAAGCGTTCAAAAGCGGTCGAGATGTGATGGAAGATTTGCCTCGCTCTGGTAGGCCATCAACGTCTGCAACTGAAGTTAACATCCCAAAAGTGAAGGAAATAGAGACTGAAAATCCTCATTCAACTTTGAGAGAGATAGCCGCCGAACTTTCTGTATCTCACAAATCGAAAAACTCAATCGCATGAGAGTCGCTGTCATGAAACGCATTGTTACTGGTGACGAGACGTGAATTTACGAGTTTGACATGCAAACTAGTCAATAAGCTTCGGAGTGGCGCCTTCCAACTGAACCGAAACCGAAAAAACCACGCTAAAGTCGATCAAAAGTCAAAGTCATGTTGACTGTTTTCTTTTACTGTCGCGGTGATGTGCACTCGGAGTTCTTGCCGGAAGGTCAAACGGTAAATAAAGAATATTATTTGAGCGTTATGCGGCATTTAGAAAATTCTTGGATTTCGCACCACGATAATACGCCTTCGCACAAGGCCATCATTGTAAACGAATTTTTGACCAAACACTCAAAAAATACCATCGAGCAACCACCATATTCACCAGATATGGCTCCCGCCGACTTCTTTCTTTTTCCTAAACTCAAATTACCACTTCATGGCACACGTTTTCAAACGGTAGAAGATATAAAAGAGAATTCGCGGCGAGAACTGAACTCAATTCCGGAAACTGCGTTTAAAAAATGTTTTGGAGATTATTCGTTGGCGTAAGTGTATCGTTTCTGAAGGAGCATACTTTGAAGGTGATAAAATAAATTTGGATGAATAACAAACCTTTTCTCTATTATTTATCTTTTTCCGGTACTTTCTTGAGTAGTATACCGAAAAAGGCGAACCTTACACTTAACATTAAACTTAAGCGAAATGACAAATATACATATACCTAAGTAAAAAACAAATAAAAATATTATACAAACTTATCTCATTGTAAGGGATCAACTAAGCTTTATAAATAAATAAACTTATACACACTAGTAGTAGTCAAATAACTAACAAATATATAAATAATATAGTTTATGAAATTTCGTTATTTATACTACCTAAAATGGTAACAAGTAGGTAAACATTACATAGTCCTATATATGGTCATTACCTAACGATTAAACAAAATTGTACACCTTCAGAGACATGGCAATAAAAAATTCAAATCTCGCAATTCGCAACGCAGTTCTTCTACTACAAAAAGTTGCGTGTCTATTTTTACATAATTTGTTAACTAATAACATTTAATCGTGACTGTGTCAATATTAATTTTTTCTTTAATAAATAAAATAATTGGTAATCAAACACAGTAATGTTTGTGTATGCATAAAATCTCATTAGAACTAAGGTCAATTGAAACTGTTAGAAATATCATATTCTTTTACATGTACGAGTATAATATAATGAATATTATATGACATTACGTTGCCTAGTGGCCAAGCTATTCTATGCATTAAACAAAACGATGTTTTCTATTGACACGGTTAATACAAAATGTTGTCAGTTAACACATAAAGTAACAAATTTTGCAGTAGTAAAACTGCGTTGCGACTTGCGTCTTTTTCGTGACGTTTTATCAATCCAAAGTTTTATCAATGCCATCGTAACTATTAATTTCGATTATTTAAATATACAAAACACATTTATTACGTACAAATGCTGATGAATACCACATGACACCCATCTGAGAAAACGTTTTGTAAGCCTCGATATGAACGCAATTTTTCTTTTCATAAATGAACATCATTTTCTTACGTCATCCCGTTGAAATCAATTTAACGTGGATGCAATTATAGGTGAGCGTTATGAAATAAAACGCATGTCAATAAAAAGCTAAAAGCAATATGGGTACCGTTATTAGTAAAAATAAGCTTCTAAGTATTGGCACTACAAAGTTTACAGAATCTCATTAAGTAATCTCCAAGCTTAGAAATCTACTTCAGAATAAATTTCACTGCCTCGATGTTAGTAATACGATGTCGTGGATACCTCGAGTTTCGTCAAACTTCTTTCGACAGTAATATCTATAATATATATAAATAATCTTGCACGAGTAATTTGGTTTGATTCAATTATACTTTTTACAATTTTTTTTTTATATTTTTCAATTTAAAAAAATTAGGAATGGTAGGTTTTCAAGTGAAACGTCTATTGTCATTTAATAGTGTAGTTTTACATGTAAACGGAAAAACTTTTATTCTTACATAATAGTTAAATTAAACTTCATAATTTTGTCTTTTTAACTAGTATAAAATAAAATGAATATGATATGATAAAAATATTTTATAATATGTACGTGTGCTGATGGATTAAGAAAACGGAATGTCAACACCCCTGTTAATCCCGTGGGTGTCGTAATAGTCGACTAAGAAAGCAACCTACGCAGGACAACAGCACTGCAAAGAGAACGAAAACTTGAAACACACCAACCCACCCCCTCGGGCCGTTACCCACCGGGGTTTGCGGCGGGTGGTGATTCGGAATCGGACCGACTAAAACCACAATGTAAATCGCCTCAAGGAAGGGCTTCTATTTTCAATATGTATTTTTTTATTTGCACCCTTAAACCCCGCCTCAAATTTTTATTACAATTAATATCCGCATACCGTACCTGAATGTACATAAGTTTACTTCCGTTACATCACGACTCACTTAAACAGAAATACTATTTTAATGTACTTTTTTAGCTAAATTATCTTTCACCGTTATGATACTTGTTTATCATAATTTATTTTTGCATATTTTATTTCAGTGACATAAGATTTCATCATAGATGTGATATAACTTTGTTATCTATCATTATTATAAAACAAAGTCAGTCCCCCCCGCCCCCCGCCGCGTCTGTGCACCGTCGTCTGTTCGCGATAAACTAAAGTATCTATTCGGATTTACGGATTTTTATACGGTCATTTAGATGTATATTTATGTGATGAAAATGTCGAAAAAAATGGCCTAAAAAAGCGACCCTACAATAGGCATAATATGCTCTACTACCCGTGCAAAGTCGGTGGAAAGGTATTAAATCAAGTGTCATCAAACATTTCTAGATCTCAGACGGGTAGTATATTATATTCACAAACATTAAAAGTGGTGGTCATCTTCAAGCCGTAGATGACCCGGGGATAATTTCTTTCCTAGAGTACACCTGGTTCCGCGGCTACTGGTAACCGAGACGGCGTGCGGTTTTTAGTCGGTTCGAGTTCGACATAACCACCGGTGGGTGGTATCCGATTTCTGAACTGAAGAAATAAATAAAATTGCCTTGAAGTCAACCTCCCTCGGTTTTTCAGATGTTTGTTTTTGTTTGTGTGCGTTATGCGATATCTTCACTGTTACTAGACCAGTCATTAGTATTTTTTAATGTTTGATGACAAAGGGCTGGTCGTCTTTCATTTCCTTTCTGTATCTTGTCGATGTCACTTAGTGTGGTTGGATCTCTGGTCGTCTCCTTGACCCGTTGACATTATAGTCTTCAGTGAATGCATGGCTCAGAAACTCGATACTTCTCTAAAAATTCTAAGGCAATTTCTTTCAATTTTTGTAAACTTAAAATTTAATACTAATACTATTATATATTGCTAGTTGTTATGGAAATATTAATTATACTTTGCAGAGCTACTTTTTCAAGGCTGCATTTAAAAAGTTGCATAGTTTTAGTATGACAACCGCTCCAAATGTGACGAAATCTCTTTTGTTGTATGCATAGCTACCTAATCTTTAAAAAATATATACATTCCAAATGGTTAAAAATTAAAATAACTTGGAATGTTAGTGAATGTAGAGCCAAGGGCTTGTGGTGAAATGAGTCGATTGCAGCAGCAATTTTGCTACTTTGTTGTTTCTTATAGATACTTTGATAGGTTATTCAGGATGTTAACATAGTAGCTTTTCTATTCTAGCTAAACGTTAGATTGAGAAAGGAGTAAAACGACCCGCACAAAACCTCTATAAAAAACGTATAAATTATGACTTATGAGTCATCATATGCCATAGTTAATAATAGTCACACTAATTACTATCTTAAAAATATGCACTAATAGTGCTTGTAGAGTCTGTAATTATAGATGAATATAGAAGAACTTTAACTAGGATGGGACCTCAAAACGTTGGTTGAAAACAAGTTTAAATTTGTTATTAAAGACCAACGAAATATGACGGAACAAAATTTTCAATCTCGTTTTAGGTTTCCATTCATTTTGTTTTGCAAAAATTTCGCTTATAAGAAATGACATTATTTTTCTCTACAAAATATCTTCTTTCTATATTATCGATTAGATGGCTTAACTACGAATAGATTTACGAATAGATTGCTTTGCAATCATTCTAAGCAGATTAAATCATCTATTCATCACACACACACACGCACATACACACACACACACATACACACACACACACACACACCAATACATACCACACGCTTATAACTCATTCTCACATGCATGCACGCTCACACGCAAGAACATGGGTAAATGTTTTATAATATAGAAAATACTTAATGTTAGTTGTGGATAAAAGAGGAACTGGTACCCACACACAAGTTTAATTTTACCGTGGGTACCAGAGCCTGACTTTAATATGTAATTAACCTAAGAAAATCATGTTATATTAGAATTTTTAGCTCATTTGACTTTAATAAATATTATTATTAAATACATTTGTGCTGTGTTAAAGGAAAGGAATTATGCCGGAATCGGTGTCCAGGAGTTAGGATGTAATCTAGGAAGACCTGGACTCGTATAATTGGTATATATTAAGCTCTTGGTATCTACTTTCTCCTAAAATACAATGTAAATTAAAAAAATACAATAATAAATACACATAGAGACACTCGTACTGTGAATACATTACACAAATAGGTAAGTATAACTAAATAACAGCGCTCGAACATTACTCATTGCGTAAGAAATATGGTTTTCTTCCGTGTACCCAACCAACGCCGTCGCAAGGAAGCAAACCGCAAACCGATGCAAAGGAAGGCAATCACTGCTTGCGATCAAAACTCTACGATAGGGATCACGTCATATACTACTGAGTGTTTACTTTCTATTCCTATTTTGGATGTTTTCATTTTTAAACCCCTATCTACTCGACTACTAGAATCTGCCCTTAAACGAGAAGATTATGTATATTTTATTATTCTTTATCGTGATATTTGACTCATAAATAAATGATACTTCCCCGAGCACTTGGCAAAATAATTATGTCGGAATCGGTGTCCAGGAGTTAGGGTGTAACCTAGGAAGACCTGGACTGGTATAATTGTATCTGTATCTCTTCGTATCTATTTTCTCCTAAAATACATTGTAAAATAAAAAATACAGCAATACGATTTTGATGAATACTCTTTTATTATGCGAGCTGTGTGTTAAAATGACTGTTGTTAAATTAATTTTATCCATAATAATATAACCATAAAAGAAATAAGTTTTTGTAAATTCAGGCAGTACGCAATTACACAATTATTTATTATTGTAACGAAAATGATATTGAATTGCTAATAGTGTTCTATCCTTTACAGATGGTTACGTAGCATGCGACGGCTTCATCTGTCCAACCGACACCTGCGCGTCATGTTGTGGTGTATTCTCCTAGGTTTGCAGCCAGCCTTCGGTGGCATACTTGACCCGTTCAACTGGGCTCGTTCAGACCGTATCGAGGTCAACATACCCTGGTTACCATGTAAGTTGCATTAGCCTAGTAATTTAGAAAATATAAGTTTAAATCCTAACCCTTTAAATATGCTATTGGCGTAACGTCCCAAGACTAAGACAAATGTTTGTTATGAATAAATTAATCGATGTTTTGTTTTCTTTGCCGTACCACTACTACACTTCGTATAGTTAGGCTCAAACTTATGTAGGAATACACCATTGTTGGATAATTATTTTATTTTAAAGACATTTTTCAAACTTTAACGTGGATGAATTTATAAACATTTACTCAATGCAAATTTCTCGCTGTTCGTAAAATCTTTGTGCTTCAAATGGTAGTACGAAAACACAATACTCTACAATTTGATCCAGAGAGCCATAACACTCAGACCGTATAGAGTTTGCCCAACTGTAACTTTCAGAAACGCACTTGCAATTGGCATTTTCGTTTTATAGCAAGACATCTTTACGACACCATAAATAAGTACTGCAGTATATATCATGTTTCAAAGTTCCAAATTAAAATTAAGGGAACTAACTGGCTACTCGAACAAGACTATGAACAAACCGAAGCGCTGCTTAAACTTAAATCTCTATTTCACACACACATTCACTCATACTCACATGCATGCACGCTCACACGCAAGAATATCGGTAAATGTTTTATAATATATAAAATACTTAATGAATGTTAGTTTTGGATAAAAGAGGGACTGGTACCCACAGCACAAGTTTAATCTTAACGTGGGTACCAGAGCCTGACTTTACTGTGTAATTAACCTAAGACAATGATGTTATATTAGAAACTTTTTAACCTTATTTGACGGTAATAAATATTATTAAATATTATTATTATTAAATACATTTGTTCTGTGTTAATTAATAATGAGTGAATTTATATACATTCTGTGAGTACCTAAGTACTTAAATATGAACCATATGAGAGTGGTTTCTGAAAGTGAATTACAGAACCTTAAGGCTGTCTATCTACCTCACCATGCTGTGGTGACGGAAGATGAAAACACATCTCAAAAGTGAGAGTTGTATTTGACGCTTTGAGCAAAGGTGACAATAGTGGGTCGGTGGCAATAGTGGTTTCTGAAAGTGAATTACAGAACCTTAAGGCTGTCTATCTACCTCACCATGCTGTGGTGACGGAAGATGAAAACACATCAAAAGTGAGAGTTGTATTTGACGCTTCGAGCAAAGGTGACAATAGTGGGTCGGTGACATATAAACGATGAGCTACTTGTTGGGCCAAGGTTACAAAAAGATTTAAGACACATACTGATGAGATGGCGTCATCCTAAAATCTGTGTCGTAGCCGATATTGTGGAAAATATATCGAAAGGTGAGAGTAACAGATGAGGACACCGATTTCAAGAGAATCGTCTGGAGGTTTAATCCATCGGAGCCCATACAATGTAACAAATTATTATGTTTAACATTCGATACAGCATGCGTGCTATTTCTTGTTGTCAAAGTATTATCTGAAGTCGCCAGACCATATGATCCTTTAGGTGGTAGTTAGTGCAAAGATTCTAATTCAGCACAGGGTCTACATATAAATTATTACAGAGTTTAAATCGACCTAGATACTTTAAATTATGAGGTTTGGGTATATTTTATCTATCAGAAATGATGGCGACTACGACCCCTTAAAGTATCTAGGTTCACTTAACCGGTAATCCTGTATAGATATTTATTATCTATACATCGGCTTCATGACTATTCACTACTCTGTCTGAAACTCGGTCATCTGCAACGCAGCACACACTTCGTCCAACGAGTGCAAGATATGTGACTCGAAATTTAAAATTGCACTTAAATATTCATTCATTTATATCTTGTTCTACTAATCTCTAATACATTTTTATTCAAATAATTTAAGTGGTTAGAATTGTTAGACAACAGTTTTAAGAGAAGGAGAAGAAAAGGAGAAGGTTCTCTAATCGGTTGTATTTTATTAGCTATTTATTTAGTTCTTTATTAAATTAGTCATTTATTCTTATTTATATAACTTAATGCACAAGTTGTACACAGGCGTAATATTATGTTTATTACCTCAAAACAAATTTATTTATCAACTGATTGAGAAAAAGACGTCAATCATCAAATTCAACTTGGCTGGGCAGCTTTCGGGAAGCTGAGTGCCATTGTCTCATGCTAAATACAGCAGTGTCTCAAAACAAAAGTCTTTGACCAGTGTTTGTTGTCAGTGATGACATATGGATGTAGTCGATCACAATAAGACTCATAAGAAGGCTCAAAGTCGCCCGAAGGGCAATGGAGATGGCAATTCTTGTAGTTCCTCTGTGTGATCGAGTCAGGAATGAGGAGATCGACAGACAAACAAAGGTCACTGACATTTTTCGGAGAATGCCAAACTAAAGTGGCAGTGGGTGGGCACAGTATTCTGAAAAGAAGTCTTTACTTGTTTAAATCTCAAAGTAAAATTTATAAATTTCACACCTCGTCTATTACAAAAGACAAGGAGATTATGTTACATTTACCCACTTTTAAAATCTGATAAGTAAAGTTCACAAGACAATTAAAACACAATTTATTTAGTCATCTGGGTCACAGTTTATGTATATTCCACAAGCTGCAGATAAAGTATATGAAATAAGATAACCATTGATACTAATACATCATATTGTATTTTAACCCTCCCCATATTTAACATACAGCCAGATTTGATTATTATCTATCAATAATGTTAACAGAAATACTATTAAACATTAATCAGAATCCGAAACATGAGTTATTGACCAATGTATTTTAACAGGGTTTTACTTTTTATTAGTGTGTATTTATATCTAAGTATACAGAATATATTCTATTCTTGTTTGGTTCTATGAACTGGATAAAGTTATATATATAACTCTTTATTGCTTACAGTTGAAAATGAAACCAGATGCTACGATGAGCTAGGATGTCTGAACATCACTAGGAGTTGGTATCATCTCATACATAGACCATTCAATGTCTTCCCACTGCCAAGGATTGTAATCAATACGAGGTATGACATTGTTTAAAAACTTACTATTATTCTTTTTACATCCTTTAAATTTAGAACCAACGACATCCAATCAAAAGATAGTTGAAAGAAAACTTTTACCTTCGATTAAGTCATCTAAATTAGAATTAAAGACAATAAAGAAATAAGTAAGAAAAAAGTTATTGCTTTCTAAGTCGTCTAAAGTCATCTATTATATTTATTATTCTCTAGGACCTTTTTTTTTTTTTCCGTGCGGAAATCCCCTCGGATACCACCTGTCGGTGGCATGTCGGACTCGAACCGACTAAAACCGCACGCCGTCTCGGGTACTAATAGCCGGGGAACCAGGTATACCCTAGAAAGGAAGTCCCTGGTGCCATTCTCTAGGACCTAGAACAATCTACTGCTAAAGATAATGACTCGGAAAAAAATATCAACAGGGACGGTTGTACTAATATTATATTAGTACATTATATACCATAACATCAGTAACAAATCGATATTGAAAGCTCCTATTTTACATTTTTCCTTACCTACCTTCATTTTACCGTTACCTAATTTCAGGTTTATCTTGTACACAAAGAAGAATCCGACCGATGGACAGTTATTAAACGTAAATGTCAATAAAACAATATTTAAGTCAAACTTTAGTCCTCACAAGCCCACTAAGATGATTATTCACGGTTTCATCGATACTCCATTGTCTAATTGGGTTCGTATAATTTATTATATTCTTAATCAAGATCGTTGCGAGAACCAACTCACGTAAGTATTTATTACTACTTACTTAGAAGTTAAAGTAGTAATTAGTTCTGTCATCTTAAATGCATCTATCTGTTTAATTGATCAATGGCTTGATGGTCTATAAATAAACAAAATACTTGAAACTGAAAAGCACTATTTTGCTTACTGAAAAGCAGTATTTTTTTGGTTTAGACACAGAGTGCAACAGTGAAATCTATGAGAACACTCTGTCTCCAAACGCATTTCTTAATCGCAACAACGGGTTAAACATGGAACCTTATACACATCATCATCATCATCATCATCATCAGCCTATCGCAGTCCACTGCTGGACATAGGCCTCTCCCACTGCACGCCACTTAGATCGATTTTGGGCTTCTCGCATCCAGCAGAACACAAGCACACACAAGCTATTTATTGAACAGTGTATTGGTAGTGCAGTCACAGACAGTCAATTACAATAAATTAACCTTGATCTTTTCCCATTTAGGTAAGTGAAATGAAGGATGAACTCGTGAAAGCGGGTGACTTCAATGTTGTCGTAGTTGACTGGGCTGGCGGTAGTCTCCCTCTGTACACTCAAGCGACCGCCAACACAAGACTAGTGGGGCTAGAAGTTGCACACTTCATCAAAGTCTTACAGGTATTTTATTTTCTTTAAACAACACAAATTATGTCAAACACGCAGATGACTCGCCGCGTACACGCGGTATCTTGACAACCCTAACAGGCCTAACATATTAACAGAAAAAACCTTTATCATGAGCTAACAACTTAAAACATGAAAAGAACATTTTATAAATAAGAAATAGTACCTGGATGACCGAGCTTTGGTCGGTTTTTTTCGGTAAATTTTCTAAAAATGAAACCTAGCTAGATCGATTAATCGCCCCCAAAACTCAAAGCAAAACTAAATTTCATGAAAATCGTTGGAGCCGTTTCCGAGATTCAAATTATATATATATTTATATAATTTGATTTTATTTTATTTGATTATATATATATATAATTACACACAATATATATATATGCAATATATTGTATAAAATACAAGAATTGCTCGCTTAAAAGTATTAGATAAAAGAAAACCACACTGAATAATAATAGCCACATTGTATTTAAATAATATTATACAATAGTAGAAAGTTTTTAAATGTATAACGTCTAATATTCTTTTTAAACGGTCTGAAAACTATAAAATAATGAGTTAAAAGGAAAAATGTGTAGACTTGGTATTAATGTCAATACTTCATAATATCTAATTTATCTGCTACCTGCATGCTTAGCTCCTTTAAAAGATGATATAGGTGCATACCTATTAAACGAGTTTGAATTTTTTCTAGTAACTCGGCTCTAACGTACAAGGTTAGTTTTAATTATCTTTCGAAACTCATTCGAGTACACTTTCACTACTCTACAAGACTACTAAGTGACAAAACAACTTAGTGAAAAATAACTTATAAGTAACACTTTTGGTATCTCTTTTAAATCCTAAACAGGAGCTCTATAAACTTAGTCACCTAGTTACCCTTATTCATTGGGCCTTTCTTTCAAGACAGCTACCAAAAAAGTTACATCTCTATTTAGTTAGCCTAGTATTATCAACTGCTTTATCAACTGCTTACGTACGTTAACTGTGCCAAGATGAGCACCACCGATTATTTGCAATCAGACCATGCGCCTCGTTTATCATCATTGTCACCAAACCTCGTCATATTTGTTGAGAATTTAATAATAAACACTAATGTGATTTTACAGAAAGATCACGGGTTGAACCCACTGGATGTTCATATTATAGGACATTCTTTAGGTGCCCATACGGCAGGCTACGCAGGTGAAAAAGTACCGGTGAGCAAAAATTTCAACAAAATCTTTTGACGTATAATGTTCTTATCAATTTTATATAATAGTTACCATATTATCCTTGATTTAGCCTCTTGTTTCATAGGGCATAGGAAGAATTACAGGCCTGGATCCTGCAGAGCCGTACTTCCAAGGAATGCCTACACACGTGCGACTAGACCCGACTGACGCGCAGCTAGTTGACGTCATACACACTGATGGAAAAAGCATTTTCCTCTTAGGTAATCCTTCGGATGTAACTCTCTGTTTTTTTATCAATCTTACACACAATGCTTAATATAATCCATAACGCACAATCATTTTTCATACACTCGTAATAATCTAGTGTTACTATTTGAGCTTTTTAGCTTCATTGATATTTAATTAAACTACTAACCCTTATGTAAATGTTATTATATGTATGTATTATATACTAAAAGCCTTTTTGCTGGTAAATTCATCATTGAAACCATCAATTTTGTATAGTATATTATATTTCTTGTATTATATATATGCGTGTTATGGTAACTAATTAATTGACATATTATTTTCACACGTGCGACAGATTTTGTGTTTATGGCAGGATATGGAATGTCGCAACCAGTTGGACATTTAGACTTCTACCCAAATAATGGCAAGGAGCAACCTGGTTGTGATCTCACCGAGGGCCCCTTAGTACCACTGACTCTTGTAAAACAAGGGCTTGAAGAAGCGTCCAGGGTTCTGGTGGCCTGCAACCATGTTAGGGCCATTAAACTTTTCACCGAGTCTATCAATGGAAAGTGTTCTTATATTGGTAAGAATTTTGAATTAGTGAGTTTTGCTTAAGTATGTTATTTGTTCCGTGTGGTGACGGATTAAGAATACGGAATGTCACCACCCGTGACGTAAGAGAAGACTAAGGGAGCAAACAACGCAGGACATCAGCACTGCAAAAAGAAGGAAAACTTGAAACAAACCCCAACCCGTCTGGCCAGCGTGGTATAGTAGGCCAAAACCCCGTTTCTAAGGAGAGGCCTATTTCCAGCAGTGGACTATTTTAGGCTGTTGATGTGATGATGATGATGTAATTTGTTTAACGCTTATTTTTATACAATGTTTCATTTCAATACAAAGTAAGTATATATTATAGTATTTTCATATGCTAAATGTAAGTATCAAAATCTGTATTACCAAAATTACTTTAACGATTTTTGTAATCCGGGTATTGAATATCGGGCAATTTGAGGAAAAAATTACATCCTACATGTTGAATTTTTTATAAGGAAACTGAATTTTCCTTTGCAGGCCATCAGTGTCCATCATATCAACACTTTTTGGAAGGAAAATGTTTTCACTGCGGACACGGCTGCGCAATAATGGGGTATGAAATAAACTTATAAATTTTATGACAATCATCGGTATAGGCGTATAAAGCCTTAAACTTATCACCAATACGTATTTTCGTAGATTCCATGCAGACAGCTCTCCAGGTTTGATCACTAACAAGAACAACCAGTCAGAGAATGAAGTGTATCCCTCAGAAGAGCATGACACTATAGGAGCCAAATATTTTCTCAGCACTGGCAAGGAATTGCCTTTCTGCCGTAAGAATTAAATATTTGTGTAACCCCCGAAAGGTGGTATCAAAACATTAAGAAAATATAACCGAATCATTAACGAATGAATTCCAAAAATATCTCAATTGATAAATATGAACGAAAGTTAGCTAAATTAAATAGAATCTCTTAATTATATCTTAATTATGAAAAAGATGGGTTAGTTGTTTTTGTGATATTGAATACTGAGTATTTTCACTCTCTTTATTATAGGACTTAAAAGAAGGAGAACTTTCCAAATTATTTTTATACTTTACTAGCGCGAAGAGGTAACAGACAGACACACTTTCGCATTTATAATATTAGAATGGGTAATGGATATTAGTATGGATATATATATATTGAAATCATTTCCTATGATTTCTTCTAGTTTTCGTCCATAAGGAAAAAAATAATTTTCTGTCTTTGAATATTATAGGCAAACCTATAGGAATTTGGGTATTTTTATAGTAATGTTAGTATGTTATTATAAATATTTTTTTTTCGCATTCATTCACATTTCTTCTCGGAAAACCCATTAGCTAAAGTGAACCTGATGATGAAGAACATAAATATCTATCAGCACTACTCAATAATAAGTATTTTAATAATAATAATAATTTATTTTGTAAAATTATAACCATTACATTATAGTCCTAGACGTTCTACCTAGGCTACTTAAATAGCCTGTATTAAGAACAATCCGTTTCTATGAGTTGCGATTAGAGGTGAGGATCAAAAGTTTAAACGTTTTCTTAAACACATTAACATTTAACTTAACAAGTTTATTTTTATTAACAATAACTTTAAAAAAAAAATCTTTTAAAACTTTCGATCTCATCTCTAGTTGCGATCCGATTACTTTCACATGGTTGTTAAACAATTTATACTCGTAACAATGCATAGGTATGGCAAGTACTTAATAAGTAACTTCTCAACAAATAACATCCGTGCATCGGATAAAACAAAACTTTGTAAAAGATGATGAGCAATTGATTAGATAAACAGGACGTCTAAGAGTAAAAATGAAATAGACAAAGAATACCTACAGCTTATTACAATTGCCATATTGAAATTGGTTACATTTTTTTAATGGTTATCAAGTTAGTACTCGTATATTTTCAAGTAGCATCTCACTTATTTAGTTTTTTGTATTTTGATTGATATTGACGATCACCCACTTTTTATAGACGTTCTAAGTAGGTAAGGATCTATATGGAGGTATTCAACAGCAAACTTCTAATAGTTTAAATGATGGTGATTCAGTTGTCGTGGGTTCGATTCCCACCCAGAAAAAATATTGTGTGATGAGCACGGTCATTTGTTCTTTGTCTGGGTGTAATTTATCTATAATATGTATTATGTTATGTAATATGTATAAGTATGCTTATCAGCAGTCTGGCTACCATAGCACATGTTCTGCCTAGTTTGGAACCAGACTGCCGTGGGATGTGTGAGATTATTATAATTATAAGCCGTTAACACAAAGACCGTTTATATTGGTAAATAATTCTTCGTGCGATTTTGCTAAAGCAATATTTAAATATTATTATTATTAGATGTTATAAATTATTAATATAAATATTATTAATTATGGTAAATAAATTAAATGACTTATTTTCAGAACGACATTACAGAGTGGCAATTCAATTGGCAAATCCCAAGGGCGCTGAATCGTGGGTTCAGGTAAAATTTTTCGTCATTTAATACCTATTTACTAATTCTATAACAACCTACGTTTTTTTTCCTGTGCGGAACTCCCCTCGGATACCACCCACAAGTGGGTGATTATGTTGGACCCGAACCGACCAAAAACCGCACGCCGTCTCCAGCCGGGGAACTAGGTATACCCTAAAAAGGAAAACCCGTTACCCCGACGTACTTCGGGCAATCTACGGCTTATAGATGACCCCCTCCTGTGTAGGAACCCGGAGGCGCCCCTTCCACCCAGGAAGGAAGCACACTCTCGGCCCTCTTTGCAACCGCAGATGCGCCAGTCTGCCTCTTCTTCTGGGTGACCCTCCCAGTTTTAGGAGGTCGGTAACCACCACGAGCCCTCGGCGTCTTGTGCCCCTTTGGGTGACGTGGCCTCGTCACTAGAGGCCGTCTCCAGCTGGCTTTCTCCCCTCAGTGGGACTGGCGCCTTTTGCGCTTTTGGGTACCGCGCTGTTACTGCTCCGCATCTGACATCATCGGTGTCTCCGCTACGCTCCTTTTTGAGGCAGTATCAGAATCCAATACTGCCCGAGATGTTTCCGCGTTCTTCGCGTTGTTTTCATCGACATAAACGAACTAATGAAGAGGTGTAAAAATCGACCCCCATTAATTAACACAAGTTCTTATTTTAATCTTTCAAGTACTGTATTAGTGGTGTTTCGTGTACCAACTTGCTATAAGAATGCCTAATATTTTGAGAGGAAGTTTCACTGTTGTACTTTCAAAAAACTCAACAAGTCGATAAGCGTGCAGTATTCAGGCTATGGTATGGTATCTGAGGTATCAGTTAGAGATGAGTTTAGAAAAGGGGTCTCTTGTCCAAAATAGTTTGGGAATCCCTGAACTAGACAAACATCATGTAGTGAAAAGATTTTTTTCGTAAGTGAGAGTAACCGGTAACCCAGATGTAGGAATCTATGGGTAAATGCTATCTGATTATAAGACACATGGCAATTTTGTTCTTACTTAAATACAACATTAATTTGCCATGCACTCAGTAATAAAGCCTATACAGTTATAAAATGTGTACTGCATGTTACAAGGACAATGTATGTAGCAATCAAATAAGCGACCTTAAGAAGGATAGCCTTACAGTGTTGTACTCATAGGTATCAGATCATTTTAAAGAATACTACAGTCATAAGGACACAATACACCATTCATTAAAAAAAGGGTATTACATACAAACAGTCTTTAAAGATTGTGAACTATTTTGCAGTACGTGGTTATAGTAGTAGTTAGTAGGTTACAGTAGGTTAATGTTTGCTATATTACGTACTGTCTGTGTTCACGCTCTAAGACTGTTTGAGATTAATACTATTTTTTTTTGCTTTGGGCTCCGGTAACCTCATTCACGCGGTGGACTTTAACGTAAGAGTTGCTCAACGCCGGGTTTCTGTGAGGTGGTCACTTGGAATAATTAAAAACATAATCCAACTTTGAAGTTAATTTTTGTCAATAGGGGTTCCTGAAAGTGACTTTAATGTCAGACCGAGGTGTAATTAGAGGAATGGACCTAACACCAGCCAATTACGTGAAGTAAGTAACTATTGCTAAACCTTTCTTTGCGAAACGATTTTTATAATATTGGTGCTACTTTATTAAAACCACACAGAAAACACATAAGTATTTACTAAGATTAAATGAACTGATAAAACTCGCTGTATTGTGGATTTACTTCTCAAATAGGAAAGTTAGTGTACTTACATAAATGAATGTTTGATTAAAGAGTCCCTTTATTGGTTACATTAACTAGTGCAAGAGTTTTCTCTTTAAAAACATATTGAACGACAGATTTGTTAAAAGATTCCACAACATTTAGTTTTCACCACTAGTAAAAGAAAAGTTGCTATTGGCAAACTTTTGCTTTTATCGTTTTAGTTGTTAAGTTATTTGTTGTTGTTGTGATGGCTACTGTCAGTATGAAGATGATAAATTTATAATACACAAGTACATATTTAACAATACAAGGTAATTATCGTATTAACTGCAAAACCATTTATCTTCCACTGATTCATTTCTACCTACTTACATTCACATCAAAGTTTTTAATGCTATTTTTATCGTTACAGATTAGAGCACGGCACTACTTACACTATAGTAGTTACACACCCAACCGACCTGGGTGGTAAAGTAAGAAAGGTAATAAATTATTTTTTTCAATAAATTATATCTTAATCATTATCCTTTTGCTCCAAAAGTCATAAAAGCTGTAGAATAGAAAAGAAATTGTAGTAAGTAGAAAAAAAGTAATGAAAAAATACAACCTATCAAGTTTTACGATGTTCTTTATATGATAGTAAATATCTGCGTTACTCTACTCAGTCCTGCGCTCTTGTCTTGTATACTTCATCGGTCTTTTTACCACATGACTCATCTTCAGTGGCTTTAGTAGCAGTAGCACATGCACGCTTTTATACCACTTGCCACGAATGTTGTGGAGATATATGAAAATTATCACGCTATCATACGGGTATCATAAATAGTTCGAATATAAAGTTATTTCGGAAAATAATACATCATGAAATAAATACCTATATTTACATCATTTCAGCAGCCGATGTTAGATGATGATTTGACTAGATGTCTACGAAATCATTTGCTACTACAATTACATAAAAACAATTATTCGTTGATAATGACTTGATGATTGATGATTTTAACTAGGTACTTATTTTAAAATGTGATTTACTTAAACGTTCAAAAACTTCCCTACTACTTAGCACGACTTAACACTGCACAAGTTCTACCCAAATGTATGGAAAACCAAAACGTGTATTATGCTTCGTTACTTATATTTTCACTTTTAATTGTATACCTTGTCAGAAATTTAATAAATTTTTTTGACAGGTGGAGTTATCGTGGGAGTACGATATGAATGTACTAGAGCCCCGATCCCTGTGCATTCTGTGGTGCAACGATCGTCTATACGTGAAATCAGTTCTGGTCGATCAAATGGAACTGCCAAGTAGAGGGTAAGGATTATTCCTTTTCATCACTGTTTTTTTTTTACTTTTTAGTGTCATGCGTTTTTAAACTGTGAATGTCTATATTTAAGAAGTTTATTAATTTATTGTTACTTTATTTATTTTTTTATTACAGAAAACGTAACGTGGACTTCAGCACGAAATTGTGTACGCCGAAGCGGGAATTTGCTGAAATCCCCAATAGGGGTTCCGCAAGCTTTTACGACAACTGCAGCAGGTAGCTGTGCCATAAATAATATGTAGGCCTTCCACTATCAACTTTAAAGTCTATATAAGTAGACTCAGAGAGAAAGCTTTAAATTAACAATGGTCTAGGTAGCGGACCTAAACAAAGTGTTATTTAAGTAAAACTCTAAGTGACTTGGTTAAAGTGAAGTTATTACAGGGTTGATGTATTTTCGTTAGTACAATCTGCAGTAAAACTCGCTAAACATAACTAAATAAAAAAAGAAAACGATATAATCAATCAATATTGTAAAAAAAAATGGTGTAGTCATGATTCCTTTCGGTTAAACAGCAATTTTTTTAAATAGTAATCTAACGAAAGTACTTGTGCTCATGAAACGTACAAGAAGATTAGCATTATTTTGTTAATATTCTTATGTAAGTGGTTATTTGTTTTTATTTGGTAAAATGTGTAGTTGTATTTCTTAATTTGTTTAAGTTTCAGAGTCTGTTTTTGATGCTGTTTCAGAGGCTTTTGATGCTGATCGTACATTTATTTATTGTGCACTTGTATTTTATTGGTACTAAATCAAGTGTAACAATGAACTGGTATCAATGAACAACTTATAATTTTTATAATTTCATACTGTTTTCTCCATTGATACCTACCTTAGGAAATACGAGTTCAGTGATCTGTCAATTCAATGTGTTATTTATAAATTAGTAAGTGTTGACATTCATAAGTATGTTAACAGTGTGTAAACACTCGATTATCCAAGCTGTAAAATTTATATGTTGAATGTAGATTTGCATAGTTTATACAACTGAAATTAAACTAACAACGGATTGCAGGCTTGCACCGCCTTGTAGTTGGTCAATGGTTGACATGACCTGGTCATAATGACTCACTGCTCGCAATCTCTTTGCATTGCCTGCTGGTAATAAATACTCAATAACTTGTATCTTGTGTTATAGTTTTTAAGACTTAGTGATTTGTAAATATTTAAGATTTGTATTTATATTTTAGTAAGAAATTTAAAAGTGGAAATAAAATGCTAAAATAATCCATGGCCTTAGTTTTATTTTAAAATTTTATACCTCATAGAATGGTCACCCTTAATAGACCCTCTCCAGGTTAGACCCGTTAAAACGAACATCAGGTATGTTTTGTGGACATTGTCTGCCGGTCTAAAAGACCATGAATTGACTTTCCAAAGCATTATATCGCAGGCCATCCTCACTCACAAACCCGCAGCAATTTCCGCTACCCATATATTGTTGCACTTAATAAAACCATGTCGTCATTAAAGTTATTGACACATATTGTTAACACCGGCAACCCACTTGGCTATTGCTAAGCGCGAAAGTAAGTTCGTTCATATACAAATTAAACAGTGTTGGTGATGTTAACCCCCCTGCCTCTTCCGCACTCAAGCGGGTATGGTTCCGACATTGCACCTGCCCACCTGAAACTGTTAAGTTAATGTATGCCACATGTACCAAAATTTTAAATATATTGGCTAGATCTGTAGGCAAGCTAATGCTGTCGATTTTATCCCATAAAATGTCGTAATGGACCAGGTTAAAAGCGTAAATTGGTATACCACGATCCGTATAGTATTAAACGGTATGCTTAAGAGATACTATGCCACTCTCAGTAGATAATTGGGATCTAAACCCAAACTTATCATCATGCAATTTCACTTTCACTTTTATTCAAATACACAGACACATTTTGTCTAAATATGTATGAAGCACACCGTCAAACACTTTTGCCGATATTGTAGCTAATGAAATAGGCCTGTAATTACTTTTATCGGATCACCACATTTTCAAGTAAATACAACACTTCCCCGACTCGCCACAGCCGTCTTACAAAGAGCACTTACAATAGCGTCATACAATTTGTTTGTGACATATTTATGACTGTATACATTCATGCGGAAAATCTATTAATTTTAATCGTTTGTTACGCTCATTTAAATAAATTGCAATCTGTTGCTCATTTCTGCTGATAGTGACTAATTATCAAGAAATTGTATGGGTAATTTCTTCATTATTAATAACTATCTTTTCAGGTAGGGTGTCTTTTTCGTGCTAGAATGTCTAATTTCACTTCTTCTAATAATAGAAAATGATCGGACCATAAAGTGTCGTATTTCACGTACACATTAGTAATCGTTCGTTGTGCTGACCGTGTTACAATACAGTGATCCAGCCAGCTGCAATAGCCATTCACATCACTTATATAAGTGAATGTGTCCGAGTTCGCTCCCAGAACACCGAAGTCTATACCTACCAGGGTTGTTGCGAATATCAGTATCATCCTCAGCATCCGAGGATTATCAGCATTGTTTTCAATATAAGCATTAGCATCAGCATCCACAACAATCGATGCTGATTTTAATGCTGATATTCGAGTTGTAACGTGTTCGTTGAAGGCGGCACCTAGCGCCAGACACGTAGAGCTTTAACCAATCATATACAGTTATACCTATAAGAAAAACTTAACCCGTCCTTGGCAGTCGCCTAAAAAGCTGTCCATTGTTCCCTCATTCCATCTATATTTCAAAAGTTATATTATAAATGTGAAAGTGAGTTTGTTTGTTACGCTTACACACCTAAACCCCTAAACCAATTTTAAAAATTCTTCCACTAATGGAAAGCTGCATTACGAACGAGTAGCACAGGCTAGTTTATATCGCGATAACCGGGCGGAGCCCCGGGCAAAAGCTAGTAAGAAATGAAATAAGTAATCCATAATATAAAATTATCTGCACTGGGTTAGAGGTTCCTGTCATATCTTTTTTTAATGTAACTTACCATTTATAAGATTACAGTATTAATGAAAGTTTGTAATTATTGCCCACAATAAATACACAGACGATAAGGTGTTTGTAAATGAGTTAGGGCGCAGGCTGAACAAAGTGACTGGTGGTTCCCGCTCAGGGTCGTTCCTGGTGCAGAGGTTGGCCGTGGCCATTCAGCGTAGGAACGCACTTAGCGTTATGGGCACCTTTTGCGCCGGCAGCGACCAGGGGTGCGTTATTTAATATATAGAGAGTTTTAGAAATCAATCATAAATGATCTTAATAAATATTAGGTACGTGCAAGGCCAGGACGACGAGCTTGCGCATTATTGATTAATTAATGTCTTATTATAAAAAAATGTGAGTGTTTACCTACTGTTACTCTGGCCTAGGAAGGGTTGTGTTTTGCGCGAGTATGTATATTTGTTTCTAAATTTCTTTGTTACCTCGTACCTTCCACATAGCTGGATAGATTTCGACAGTTAAGGTATCGTTTTATCCGTCTCAAAAACCCAAATGTCCTTAGATGGCTTTTTGAAAGAAAAAACAAAATATTTGGCGCACAATAAGGGTAATAAGAAAATAACCAAACCTATCGAGTAGTAACCTATCAAAATCAGGAAAATTTAAATGAGATTACAAAAATATAAATGTTTTTTAATTTTTGTTTAAAAAGTTTTTGATAGCGTAAAAATGGACCGTGTTCATACCGAACCTCTGCTGTTTCAGTTTTTTTGTGCATTACTTTTAAATTGTCTTTTTGCAGTCGAGATTTTCATTTTTTAAGTTGTCTTCATAAATAAAAAAGATTCCTAAACTTTAGTTATTATTAAAAATGATTATTTTAAAATATGTAGGTATCTGTATATTTTGAAAACATGTATGTATACTCAAACTATACAGGTATAGTATATTTTGTCATTAAAAATAATATAATTATTAGGTACTAGCTTTTGCCCGCGACTCCGACCGCGTTGGTTATGGCGGTAAAAAGTAGCATATGTTACTTGCTGATAATGTAGCTTTTAATTAGTGAAAGATTAAATCGGATTAGTGTCTAGTCTAAAGCGTAACCAATCTACTTTCTACTTTTAAAATAACAGTAAAGAAGTATGGATAACTTGTGTTTTATCAAAATATGAAGTCATATTTGCCAGTAATTTTATACTAAGATATGTTTTAATTTAGCAACTTATTGCATCAGCTTCCGCTGATATAATAAAAACCTGTATCAACAACAACTCTAGTCTATACACTTCCACAACTGCACACTACATTAATAGACACATACTCATACAATTAATAGGCACATCCTTTATTTTACAGCGTTACTAGCCAAAACATTACATCATTAAGATTTTTTTTAAATTTACATTCTAGGCGCTTAACACAAAATGTCTTACGAAGCGATTCGCATAGATTTAGCACGGCAACACTGATGCATTTTGATCCAAATCTGTTAAATGTCAGTTATGTCAGTGTTAGAATAGGGAGGACATGGATAAGTCAAATTTGTCAACGAGAACGACTCATAAAACTTTATCTCAGTTTGATGATGGACAGCTTATTTACTAAAAAATTGTAATATTACATAGGAAATAGACAAAGACAATTGAACTCATGTATTAGAAAACAATTAAGATGTCGTCATATACTTCAAAGTTAGTGTTAGCGTTATCATGTTCTATAACATTTGGCATTGTAGGCTACGTGCATATAAAGCAACAATACGACAGGTAATTAATAGATTAAGTTAATATACATTACATTATCATTACAAATGCTATATTAGCTCTCCATACTATAATCGAAATGTGCTTCCACACCACTGTCTGAAAACTTCCCAAGCTATGTTATAATAAAAATGTTTATTCATTTTTATTTTGAAAATGTATTACTATATAAGGTTATCAATTTCTTTCGAAATTTTACCCTAAAATAAGAAAAATACTAATAAACACAGTTTGTCAGAATTACGAAATTACTTGATGCTACTAATCTGTGTTCATATTAGTTACATTCATTAAAATATTTTACATACTACACTGAGAACTCCATGGGTGAGGTGGGTTGGACAGGACAGCAAGTAGTTGATTCATTACTCACTTCTAGTTACTAAATATAAGTGTTTTCATAGACTGATATGAACAGGCATACTTTTGAAGCATTTACTTAATTCATATGTCCATTTGTAGTTCATTAACATTTTCAGAAGCTATAATTATTTGGGTCACATTACTAATATTCCTGATAACTCCTCCACCTATGTTAATGTTTATGTCTGTTAAAATTGTTTCCCGTTTAAATGAATCCAGTTTTTCACTGCCTCACACATCTCATCTCGTCTCATATTCTGATCACATTTGGCCAGGCCTGTACTATTAGTAGGGGAGCCCATGATGCTAAATGGGGATTTACTCGAGCGTCACGGTGACCTAATGCATTTGAAAAATTAGATAATAGAATGAATAAAAGATTTATAATGTTTCCACTTTCAGCAGTGGGCAAAGCTTCTACAGGTTTTCAAAAATGTAAGAAATTGAAAAAGAAATATTCGGGCGCATCAGATATTTTGCGGATGTTATTTGGAGCCAAATGATCCCATTGAAAGGTCTGACGATTTTAGTGACACAAGCTGGTAGCGAATTATCGAAAATGCACACTGCAAATTCGAAAAATTGCTATTTGGTAATACCCGAGCGTGTTTGATTTTATACAGACAGCTTGATGTACCTTTCATACTAGCTAAAAACGATACGATACGATACGATAACGATAATTTTGCAGGATATTTTAAATCTAACTGTTTCAAATATTTAGATTTTTTTAATTTTTATAAAATGTGACAAATAAAGGCACGAAAAATTTTGTGGATATTTAAAGATTTCTTCCATTGTTTGCTTCAAAGTAAAAAACAAAAGTCAAGGTCTTGTTTTTTTTTTTGGAACTTTGTGACCCTTATACTGCTTTATGGTACGCTCAAATCGTCAGATTTTTTTAAATACACTAATATGCATGTAGTTGACTCAACTTAGCTTCATCTTAAATTTTTTTGCCAATCGTTTTTTTTTAAATAACATAGGGGAGATCATCTGATGAACCCATCAGAGGGTTGTCTTAGACGATCCCCCCTATATGTAGGTCTCATGTTTGGTTTAGGTACTCAACTGGGTGTAAGGTATTCGTCCTATGTTAATCTAACACGCTCAAGTAAATCCAGAAATTCTTTCTAGGGCTCCCCTACTATATGGTAACTAAGCTGCTGATACACACACACATTTAATATTTATATATTTCTAAACTAGTGATCTGCCCCACCTTCACACTGGTGCAATGTATATACTACTAATGTGGTGTCAGTTTAGAGTAAATTATACTATCGTTATAAGATATACTACCGGACATATTATATGCTGCTCATTTTAAATCTCTGATGTCTATTAAGATATTCACTTAAATGATATGCTGTAAAAGGCAATTTTGATCTACATTAAATGCGCAATGTATCTAATGTATTTAGGTATTTGGATAAGGAATAATACTCTATTGTTCAAAATAACTTCATAAATAATACATTATTTTTTGTAATGTATGAAAAGATATAAATGGTTACTGTGGTTTACCCTTAGGAAATAGACATATACCATCGCTTACTTTTTTGTAAATCTTTTTTATAATATATGATACGATCCTACATTATTTTGATCTATCTTGTAAGGTATAGTCAGCGTAAGCACACAAAAACATAATCCATGGCTTAGTTTAAAAGTCCAAGGGCACAAGAAAAAAGCTACTTCATTTTATATTATGTAAAAATACACACATACCTATCATGGATTAATTACACCCAGAGGTAAAACAAATAATCATATTCATCACACATTTATTAGTCTTGGGTGGGAATCAAACTCAACCTCTGGCTTAGCAATAAAGATCACTAACCACTAAACTAACATGCTCATTGATTTCAACATTTTACTTAGGAAAATGAAATGCCTATATATGTAAAATACAATAACCTCTTACCTTTCAGGGAAAAAATGCATGAAGGAGTGATAAGAGATGTAGAAAGACAACAGAGAAGGAAAATAGAAAATGTATACATATTAGAAAAACAGAATGAATTGACAAAGAAATTGAAAAAGGAACTGGAAAGCTAATTAGTAATTAAAATCATCATATTCTACTAAGTTGTTATTTATTGATAATATTAAACTAATATGTAATTAGAACAATTAAAATTAAATATATTAGAATGAGTTAATGTTTTTCTTCTTTCAACCAATGCTCCAACATAACATCTCTAAGATTTAATTCTGTTCCTGTAGGGAGTTTCTTATCTGCATAATTAACAAAACCATCAAGTTGCAACTTTTCTTTAGCTACAGCGGCCAAGCACTCAAATGTCCTTGGTTCCCAACATGCCAAATCTGATAATGACTTTCTGTCTAACATGATATTAGCTCGATCCAAACCCTCTTTAAGTGAAAATTGGGTAATGTTATGTTGTTCACATGCTGCAGTAATTCTGGTGTTCCACAAATCTATCATATCCTGTTTCTTAAGCTTCCTAGCCTTTGTTGCATAAACAAGAGCTCTGTGGACGTTACGAACTGCGATCGAATAGCAATTTCTACGACGTCCAATATAGTGAGCAGCTAGTCTGAAAATTCTCCTTTTCCTCCAAAATTCATCGGGACCGCGAACACGAACTAAATTGGCAATGGTTAGAAACACCATTTTGTTCTGAACCTGTAACACTAGATAGTATCACTATAACTAAAACTGAAAATACACTAAAAAAGAATTCAAGTTATTCAAAAGCTATTTTATTTTCTTCAAATTAGTCTGAAATATTTGAGGTTATTTATTTTTGTCTCGAGTAGGCATGGGATACAATTTTTTATCGATTCACAGCAAAGTCGATCAGACGAATAGATGAATATTGAGAACTACACAATTATAAAGGAGTCTAATAAGTCCCCCATATATAGCAAATAACTTTGGGATAAGAACAAAACTCAATTTCTGGAAATCTCGAAGATAAATTTTAAAAAATTCGATCTCAATTTGTACTTTATTGGAAAGAACAAAAATATTCAATTGATCACTGAGCAGTCATATTGGCGTCTGGACGTAATATACTATTCGAGGCCCTTTTCTTATTGCCAGAAATTCAATTCTAGTTTGCTAACAGACCAGTGTTCCTTTGATATTTAACACTAGAAACTAAAATTGTTATTTAGGAAACGCATTAACTTCATTCATTCGTTAAGTTTGTAACTATGTTATCTCTGTTTGTAAAATATTCTCAATTTAAAAAAAACTAGATATCAATGTGTACTTCCTAGTATTGAACGAGATTACGTATAAGCACCGCAATTTTTGAACAATCTATTCTTCAGATGTCGATACGAATACATTGTTAAACGATTTTTACATGCCGTTTCCGGAGTCACATCACATCCCTTGCATATCCTAGTGTTGCCAATCTCAAAGTAATTGACAACTCAAAACTGTTTATAAATCTTAAAAATTAAATACACCAAAATCGAAGAATACGGCACGGTGCACCCAAACCTAGTCTAATAGTGTTGAAAGGGTTTTAACAAAACACTATTAAGATAGGCATTGCGTTGCGTTACCATTTTTCCTTCCACAAAATACGTCTACACCGCTTCGGCAGTAAACACGCTTGAGTATGTGAACGGCTTGAACACAATGTGTATACATATATCAGAATAGTACCTACTTAATACAGGTAAAAATAATGCAACAATCAAAAAAATGTTTTGGGGAAAAACCACAAGAACCACACCACAGCCACTGTCGTCACAAACAAAGGCAAAGAGAAAGAAAACTTGACACAAACCCTATACTAACAACCTGTCCTGTCTGGCCAGCGTGGTATAGTAGGCCAAAACCTTCTGTCCAAGGAGAGGCCTATGTCCAGCAGTGGACTATTTATTTTTATTTTATTTATTTTGGATCACCAATGATACACATATATACAACTAGCTGACCCGCGCAACTTCGTCTGCGTCTCTCAATAGTAATAAATTTTCTCCGTTTTTGAAACATTCTTCATTGGTGCTCCGCTCCTATTGGTCTTAGCGTGATGATATATAGCCTATAGCCTTCCTCGATAAATGGGCTATCTAACACTAAAAGAATTTTTCAAATCGGACCAGTAGTTCCTGAGATTAGCGCGTTCAAACAAACAAACAAACAAACTCTTCAGCTTTATAATATTAGTGTAGATTAGTAAAAAAAATATACAAAAACACGCCTTGTGCTCATTGGTTGTTGATGTTGATGCACTTCACCAAGCAAACATTTTATGCAAGGGACTGCTCTGATCTGTGATCTGTACTGGAAAGCGCAGTGTGGGACGACCGCCTACCCGATGGACGGACGACCTGGTAAAGGTTACCGTTAAAGGAAACCGTTGGATGCAGGCCGCAATCAACCGTCCCCGCTGGAAATCATTGGGAGAGGCCTATGTCCAGCAGTGGACAAGCATAGGCTGAGACGACGACTGCTCTGATCGTGTGTCTCTTTGAGCATATAATGTAGTCTATGATATATGGTAGGTATAACAACATATAAAAAGATTTTTATACGCCTATGTATCATGGTTGTTAATTGGTTAGTTGTACGGGTTTATGCCTATTAGATAGGTTCAAATAACTATAAAAATTTAAATTCTACTGCATTTTTATATACCTACCTACTTAATTCTGAAATATAAAATAATTCTGAATTCAGAATCTCTTATTCGCGTTTTAAACAAAAGAAAATCAATAATTTACAAAGAGCAACTAGTCTTTTAAAATAATGTAAACTAGTATGTGATAAAATAAAAGTGAATTAATACTTCATATTTCATTTATTAATATTCGTACACTATACCTACATAGGTACCATAAACCAACATGTGCAACTCTTCTTATGTACATTCAGTAGTAAAACTCAGTCTTTGAAACTTCACAACTTACTGTCTTGAAATCTCTGCAGCCAAAATTTAATCATAATTTAAAATTAATTAATTATGAGCCTTGGCAAAATTTCTAAGTAATGGATAAATCAAGGAATTGATCATTTCAAGATGTTTAAAAACATGTTCCTCTCCTTCAGTGTATGGGGCAACCGACAAAATACGTTTGTTACCGCAATGAGAAGGCAAGTATACTTTTTTATTTTTCTGGACAACTTAAATAATACGTAATGTATCTAAATATGAGAGTGAGACACACTTATAGACCAGACATAACTTATAGACAATTTGGAAAGCATTAGTGGGTGGTGTTATTTCCATACATATTTCGAATAAACAATGTTTTTCTGTGGTCGTCGCTTAGACTATATTGGAAACAGAGATACAATACTAATATTCTCGTTAACCACTATAACTCCAGTAAAGATGAAGTAAAGAAACTGGATTCACGTCGCTCCTATATGCAGTAGAATTTGAAGCAGAGAAAAGTTATCTACCCCAAGTGAGTACCAGTAAAATGCCTAAGGCTCAAACTTAACTTACTTAGTCAACTTACCCAAGTCTGCGCGGCTTGCTCTCGGATGTCTAAGACAATGTCGTGATGTAACCGATTGTCGTACGATCTTGTCATAGCCATCGCTTTCATCAGGCATCAAGCGTAACGATGTACTTGAAGCACGAAAATTATTTTCAATGGACATAATATTTCTTAGGTGGACTTGTTCTTTGCAGCATGGTGGTCTCATTGGAGAAGTAGTACGAGTTTGTTCGCTACTACCTATTAGTACTTTCAGTAATATTGCCTGGGAAACACATTGATAAATCTTATTTTACTTATTCTGCATTCGTGTATCTACGCACATGAGCTTTTCAACATCAACACTTTATTATTTTTTGAGTGAAAATCTCCTCGGATGCCACCAGTGGGGTGGTCATGTCGGACTCGAACCGACCAAAAACCGCACGCTGTTTTGGGTACCAAATCCCTGGTACCCCAACGTACCTTAAGCCATTTACGGCGTTTATTTTTTTTTCCTTAAAGGGCGGGCGCGCTAGCTCTCGCCGCCACCCTGGTCTGCTTCTGCTGGACAGATGGTCTCACCTGTCACCCCCAGGCCAGGCGCTCATGGGGGACGGAGGTGGTTCTGCAACCTCCGGCGCCTGAGTCGTCTGCGGTACTGGCAGTCCGGGAGGGTTTTAAACCTCTCCCGGTCCCGGAGTTCAACGCACTCTCGATCCGTACCATGGCAGTATATAATCATGTTACCGAGCGAGAGAATTCCCACTCCGACGGCCGCCACAGGGCTCGCCACTGCTCCACCCACGCCGGGCATTCTGCCAGTGTGGAGCGCCGTGTCCACGGTCCGGCCACCACAGTTGTGGCACTCAGGCGTTAGCTCCTTGCAGACCAGACCAGGTGATCTCCGAATCATATTCTTCCGGTGATCATCTACGTCAGCCAGTATGAGAGGGTTCCGTAACTCCTCTCGAGCCAATCCTGCATAACGGGTTTTACCGCCGCGATAACTGAGTGTACGGCGCTCGGTTGTCGAAGTCGTTCCTTCAACTCCATCACGAGGAACTGGCGGAGTAGGGCTTTCTGATCCTCGATTTCTCGAGTCTCAGGACTACGACCCAACTGCGCGTCTCCTTACGCCACTGACACAGAGCCGCAAAAGGCTCTCGCCTCCAGTCCCTCGGTGGATATCCGGCCAGGAGACTCGCCGCGTCAAAGGAGATCGTGCACCCCCTTATGACCCTGATAGCCAGCACTCGCTGCGGTCGTTGCAGTAGTGCGACGTTGCAGGCCTTAAGGGCCTCCGCCCATACTCAGGCCCATAAAGGGCTATGGACCGCACAACCCCGAGTAGAGTCTACTGCAGGAGTCATCGGATCATGTGTTTTTAATTACACTATTATTCATTGTCTAACTGTAATTGGATAGGGTAAGGTGGCTTCGCTTTACCCACAGAACAAAGTTTACCCTTATACATCGCATCTAGATTTTTCTCTGAATTAAGAGCGCCTTAGGTATCAGTTGGCATATTAATTTCTATCGCATCGATCGATATCCATTTGATTCCAAAAAAAAGAACAATATAGTCCCTAGATAACAGTGTAACAACTATCACCACCTACCTCAACTGTGATGACGGAAACAAACATGATAATATGAATTGTCATTAGAGTCATCATGATATTAGTCATTATATCCCCACAGCCTCGTGTATTGATTGAACCTGTGCCCAATTCTAGAAGATAATTCGCTATACATGACCCACTTTTACAGCAACTGTAAAAAATATATCATCAACAGCCTACACTAGATCACTGCTGAACTTAGATCTCTATTAAAAAGGAGGGGAGGAAAAGGAGGAAATGTTTTCCACTGTGCGATAATAAGCGACGCCAAAGAAAAAAGTAATGAGGAAAAAACAAATGAATCACTGTTTTCAACACTCAAATGTCCCAGCTAAATGAATTTATAAATTTTAATTTGGAATTCTTAACCAAAGAGAAGATATTTCAGATCAACGACAAAACGCTAATTTCATATGTAAGGACCTAATAAAATAACATATTGTGATATTATTATTCTAATGGCCACCGAAACTGTGTTAGATATTTATAGCTTAAAATTTATGTTATGGTTACACGTTCAGCGATTTTACATCTAAACGAGCTTACATTTTATATTTCAGACGGCAAATTGTTATACAGTTGTGCTCCTCCGTAGGTAATGTTTTTCTTTGCGAAGTTTGTACGTGTTTTTAGTAATACAAGTAAACTTGGACGACGAAGACTACGCTTCCAAGAGATTTTTTTATAAATGTAACAACATTAGATTGGATAGTTTTATCTATAAATTTTCTAACTAATATACAAGTACAATAAAAAAAAGTTGTTTAATATTCATCAGTTTTGTTTTCTCGAAAATTTTGTGTGCTGGTGTATAGTATGGATAGCCGAACAGTATTTTAATGATTATATTTTGTTTTCTCTGTAGTTCTCGTAATTTTGTTTTACCAGCGTTGCCCTAGATTTCTATAGGATATAGTAAATGTGATTTGACAAGAGAATTATAAATGGTAAAATAGAGTTTTTTATGTATACAATTATCCATTATACAGTACAATTACAGTACAATTATACAGTATCCATTCTTAGACCAAGGTATTTTTCACAAGCTTTTTGTTCTAATGGTATGTTGTCGATTACTAATGGGTCATGTGACGGTTATATTTTATTTTTAGGCTTTAGCAATATTAACGGTTAACAGATTATATTGAAACCATTCAAAATTATTTTTTTAATCATTTTGGACTCGTGAAATAATGTCTTGTATGTTAGTTCCGAAATAAAATAGGCAAGTGTCGTCAGAATACAAACTTAAATGACCGTATACCGCCCTAGTTCTGTAATACTATTAATCTACATTAGGACCCCAAGATCGAGCCTTGTGGAACTCTGCATGTAACAGGCAACTCACTACTTTCAACGTTACCTGTTTTGACTACCTGATTTTGATAAATAAGATTTAAATATTTTCAGTGCATTTTCTTTGATAACAGCATTTTCAAGTTTTTCTAACAACTTTCTGTGACTTACGGTATCGCAAGCCTTTTTTAAGTCGACAAATATACCCAAAGCAAGGTTTTTGTTGTCTATATTATCTCAAATTTTTGTCACTAAGTCAATAGTTGCTGCAGTAGTGCTGTTTTTACCTCGAAATCAATATCGATGATCAGACAAAAAATTAAACATAATTGTGTTCTCTGGGATATATACAATCCGTGGCCTTGCACGTTATTGACTTGTATTATTCTTAAAGTACCTACGCAGGTAGGTACAGTCCTCGTAGTAAGTAGAGCTTCATCATAGGTGTTCAAATACTTAGTTAGCCTTATCCTAATATAGTATCGATGGTACAGTAACAGCACGAGTATTCAAATCGTAGTGAACACCTAACGTTTTAAATATAAAGGAATGCATTGACATTGCTACTTTAACATAACTAGAGGTTCTTAACAATTGAATAGCTAAAAATGGCTACATTTACTTTCATGTTTTTCAGAAACTGGCATGCCATTTGTTTAGAATATTTGATGTAAATCAAGAGAAGAGAAGATATGAATCAAATCAGAAAAACTGAATAAAATGAGACAAACCTACATCGAATTTATAATTTTGTTCATTGTATTTACATGTTATCCTTTATCGTTGTGCCCACCTTCGTTTATCACAATCGTCGGCGTGTCGTATAAATTTGAACAACAATAGCTACATATTTAGAAATAATAACCTTAGAGGCACGCTGTCTGTAAGTGGCTTAACAAATCGAACTGAATTTGAAAGTGGCTTTTTTGGCGGATCCCAGTCATAATCTCTTACTTTATCATACCAGTCATAGTCAAACCAGTCTTTGTAGGAATTCAGCTAAAAATAATTAATAAATTAGATCAGATAAAAGCTTAAAGTCTCAACCAACAATCAAGTCGCTTACCCCGCAACATTTCAGAGACCATTGCAAATTGTCAACAAAGTGTTTATATCTTGGAATACTTCTATAATGCTTGATTGTATTATTGAGTCGATCATGTGTGGTCTTCCTGCATATGGCTATCTTGTGAGCACAGAGCACTACACCAATACAGTTTATTAATATTATCCACATAAAACAAAGCCAAAGCGGACAACAGAGCACCCTAGACTTATAACTGTCAACGAAAAAGTTTAATAAAGATTTGTTTTATATTTCACTAAAAGCAAATCATCGTAATCATTAATCAATCCTAGTAAAAGCACCAACAGTTTAATACGAGTCATATTTGAGTTACCTAGTATGTGAGCAATCATATATCGTCATCAGTTTTGTTGATAACATAGCTCTAACTAGTTACAGGAAACTTCTTGATAAGCAAAAATTTGTTCTAAAGATACATTTATTATCCCGATATTATGAGTAATAATTTCTAATTTTGTTTTAATCGACAGGTAGGACACAGAGTAGTACTTAGCATCGGGTGAACTGTGCTTGATTAGAACTAAACTCAACTAGCCAACATTCAGTGTAATCATCTTTGAGCATCCCTTTTCCGTAACATATTTACTGGGAATGATTAATGAAAAAGAATAAACTACTTATTATAGAACCATACTCAATCTTCTTGCCGTTAGATATAGCACATAAAATGTGTATGTTTGCGGGTAGAGTGAGTATTCCTGACAGTAAGACAATTGCATTTATCAAGTCAGTGCCTGTTAAAATTAGCATATCGCCAATACCTGTGAACATATAGTAAATAGTGGTAAGTAAATAAGTTTTATTTAATAATAGAATAATTGGCACCATGCCATGGTGCGAATTATATATTAATATTTTCTTTAATTTATTATTGATAATAATGTGCTTAATATAGTAAATATAATTTAAAAAAATATACTTACAAACGAAAAGCAATAAAGACCAGATAATAGCGAACAAAGCAGTAAGCCATAAATAACACGACCCCCACACTACAAATGGATGATTTATATACGACGTCATATTCGTCCAGTAAATAACATTTATTAGATTCAATCAATATTAAATTGGTATAAAGTAATCGATTAATAATATGCAAAATGTTTGTAAAACAATACATCTAACTTGACAATAATGCCAAATCTGTCACACTTTCTATGAAGCCTCCTTACTCTATTGCTAGGCCATATCTTCCCGAATTTTTATTTGTTATATGTGTTTACTTTAGTATTTATAATATTAGTTTTTTAGACGACCTTGTTTTTAAATATTTTTATCTTATTTTGTATTTTTTGATTAAAGGAATAGTTTCAAGACTTAAGATTTACTTACGTTACTCTTAAAACTTTTAAGGTACCTACAGAAAATGAAACAGATTATGATAAAATTTAATATATATTTCAAATATTAACAGTATCGAATTAATACATAACAAAAGTAAAAGTAACATTCATATTAAAATATCTTAAGAACCTTTCGTACCACCCAAAGTTTTTAATTTAATTTTTAAGCAAGAAACAGTTTACACTATTAATAAGTCACACGTTTAATCTGTGTGGTCTGTAATAAATGCTTCATAAAATACATTCCTTACACTTAATATAAATGTAATATTATACATATGTAATATCCTGGGATAAATGACATATCGCTAAATAGACAAATGACGCAAATAAACAATCGTAGTAAATAGATTTTATGTTAACACTTACAGTCTGTGCGGCAAGTACGTTTAAGTCTTATTAAAAAGTTTATTATAAGGAAAATACAATAATCAGTTGTTTGCTTACACACTATAATAATTATTCTGGTTTAGTGACATCACCCATTTTTTTAAGTTGCGGAGAGACGTTGAATTCGCAGCCGGTGCTAACAACGATATCTTCCACAGTAACTCCATCGGACAATTCAGTAAGAGTTAATCCCTTTTCTTTGTCAACTTCAAATACACACTGCAAATAATAATGTAGAATACACTTTTTTATGAAAAATAAGCTTTAGCCCGTAAATCCACCAGCGTGTATGTCAGTTATACAGTTCAGCGGTTTAACCGTGAAAAACGTAACAGACAGACAGAGTTACTTTCGCATTTATAATAACATAAGTGTGCAAATGCCTATAAACATGAGAGTACTTATAGTTCGCGTGAGTTGATATCCCTCTCTGATATTTTTTCATTAGTGTAGAATATAAACTCAGTTAAGTTTATCGAATTAGATGTAAAGAAATAGTTTGTATTGTCACTTAGATAGCCCTAACAATACATCCGAAGTAGTTTCGATTGCGAAATTTTATTATGGTTTTCATATCAATCGAGGTCATCCAAATAAGACCTTTTCCATAATAAAGAATGTACGAGAATTAGGCTAGTTTAACCGTACCTTTTCAGTTATGATCATATCCACACAATTCTTTCCAGTAAGGGGTAGTGTGCATTCGGGGAGTATTTTGTGTGAGCCATTCTTGGCTGTGTGCTCCATACTAATGACAACCTTCGTTTTAGGAGCTGATACTAAGTCCATTGCACCACCCATGCCTTTTACCATTTTGCCCTAAAAATAAATGCTGTTATAATAAAATCATAGACAGGTATAATAGAAAGTTATCATCATGTTAATCATTTACGGGAATCATCCAGTTGGCCAAGTCACCATAACGTGAAACTTGCATGGCGCCAAGAATAGTTAGGTCAATATGCCCGCCGCGAATCATTGCGAAACTATCGTCGGATGAAAAGTATGATGCTCCTGCAACAAAAAAATTTAATAAGTTCCACTCCTTGAACTGTAATAGACATGGATGTGGTTCTTCTGGGTCAGAAAGAGATGACATGATGATGTTTTGAATGTATGTAGGTAGATATTTTACTTTGGAAATCACACCTGTGAAAAACGTTGCACAGAAAAACAATGACAAAACGTGATTATTTCTATTTTAAAATCCTGTGATTTTAGTTTTATCTAAATTTTTTTTTGAGTAACTAGTTAATAAAAACGATACATCGAATCTTAATCACATTTCATATTTTATGGTGTAAAACAATTTAGTAGTAATTAATGTTAGGTACTAATAATTAAAAACTTACACAAGAACCAGTTGTTACCCACAACTTCCTATGTTTAAAATACTTACTAATTAATAAACTTCATTTAGGAATATTAGTGGTTTTTGTGACTACGTTGGGATCAAAATACCAGACTGCCAATTCCGATTACAGAGTACATATTCCGATCAACTCTCGATCGGAACTGAATTTTTATCGAACTTTTATTACAAGAATTCGGCTTCAGTTTTCGATTTAAAAAAACAAAAGAATAACAGAATGAAACATGAAATGAAACATATACCTTTTAACCATCTTAACCCTCCCCATGAAGAAAAATATTAATACTCAATTTATGAATTTTACACGAATAACTCAAAATTGTCGTCACTCTTTCACTTAAAGCTGCGAAATCTTTAGACAACAATCTGTTGTAAGCTTCTAACCTAAATTACAGCTATTTCATTATTTTTATTATTTATAATACTTTATATACATATGACAAGCATTTTAAAAACTTAAGAAAACTGAAAAAAAAGTAGAGTAAATACTATGAGCTCTATGTTACGCTTAATACAAAAACCTCACACCTCACCTGGAAGAACAGTCACAGTTTCCTTTCCAGCGTTAATAAGATCGGCGTCTACTTCCTCTTCCGTTGGGAAGGGACCAAGTCCAAGTATTCCATTTTCTGACTGCAATAAAACCTTAATGTTGTCTGGAATATAATTACTGGCCAGCATAGGCATACCTGGAATATATTTATATAACTTAAAGCACAACATATAATATATTAAATAAAGGGTATAAGGAGGTTAAGTATTACGAGTATGCTCCCAGAGCCAAATGAGCATGAACATGATATTGTTGGGTGCATACTCATTTACTTTAATATTTATTTAGTTTTTTACACTTTGAGTTTAAAATAACCTGATAATAGCAAATTTTAAATCTTTTTTTTCCTAAAGCTTATAGAGCTAGGAATGTAATTACAACGTCAATGCGCTAAACCTATTATTTTATGATTAACCAATTGTAATAATCAATTGTCATTTTTTTTTCAAGTCTGTAGTATTAATCAAAAGACACAAATCAATATAATCTGTTTTAAACTCGGGGTTTATGTAAAACACCAGTATTTCACTTTTGCCTGTTCATTCATTCATTCATGTTCATGTGCATTGTTTTAGCAATGATGCAACCAGATCTGTACTCACTGGCCAACGTTGCAAACTTTTTATAAGAAAATGTTAGTGGTGTGTAGGACTAGTTAGTTAAATAATGCGCTAAAACTTCTTAATTACTAACTTAACTACTAACTTAACTCTTAATTCTCGTAATAAAAGTTCGGTCTCAATTCAGTTCCGAACAACTTTCGATCTCACAACTGTCATAAAAGGTATTTTTGTGGTAAAGTATTAAACATCTAACGTTGGCTGTAATGTGATTATATCATATTGTTACTGAAAATTTAATTGGTAACCTGAAAGTCTTAGTAATACTTCACTACGAAAGTACGTTTTATAACAGTTGTGAGATCGAAAGTTGATCGGAACTGAATTGAGACCTGAAGTATTTTCTAGAGTAAATATTACATTTGGGTGAAATATAAAGTGTTTTTAAGTTTTATATGGCAATTGATATTGACGTAGTTTAAAATATAAAGTTACCTATTCCAAGGTTTGCATGCATTCCATCTTTAAATTCTAAAGCAACTCTTCTTATTATCCTTTCTCTAATTGAATCAGATGCTTTGTCAGTTTTAATAGGCTTTTTCAATGTTTTTCTTTCAATTCTTTTTTCAAATTTGTCTCCCTTTACTATTCTATGCACAAATATAGATGGGACGTGTACAAAATCTGGCTCAATTTCATCCACAATTTCCTCAACCTCTGCAATGGTAACTCGAGCAGCTTTGCACATAGCAGGGTTAAAATTACGGGCGCTTTTTCTGAATATCAAGTTGCCGTGTCTGTCTGCTTTCCAGGCTTTCACCAAAGCAAAGTCACCAGTGATAGCTTCTTCAAGGATGTAGTTATTTCCATTAAATTGCTGTACTAACCTAGGTGCACTCGGGATATCAATCTAAAATAAAGTGTTGCATACAAAAAAAAATATTATATAACATACTATTACTAACATAAAAGTACATGTTCAGTAATTAAATGGAAATACAAATTAATAGACATGTTATTATTAGTATCTTATTTTCCTAATTATTAATTTACTATACAGTCATGATATTCAAGTATTCTATTAAAATAGTAAAAAAATATTTGAGCAGTTCATAAAGAAATCATTTTAAATAGAAAGAAAAAGAAACATAAGCAAAAATTAGTAACATTTCAAACATAAAAGCTTAACATGATGTCTACCTACCTAATGGAGGAAGGTTTATGTCACTAAAGTTGCTCACCTTCCCATCTTTAGTATATTTGATTGGCGATCCACCTTCTTGAATAAGGGTACCAAAGCCTGTTGGAGTAAAGAAACCAGGTATCCCAGCACCACCAGCACGGACTCTTTCTGCTAACGTTCCTTGAGGAGTTAACTCAACCTAAATATTTTACTTTATTATTACTTTTTGACAATGCTGTAACTGTAGATACATACATTGCAGATATTGTATGTAGGTAAATAAATGTAATAAAAGTAGTATTCGGAAGAAAAATAAAGTAATACCCTACCCTATCTCTATGATTGAATTAATTTAAAAATACATTTATGGAAAAATGACTTTTAGCAAAAACTCTTTTTTATTTTATAGTTGCACAACTAGTTTTATTATTGACAAATTAAAAAAAAACTTGCAACTTCAGATTCCAAAATACTCTTAGTAAAATCCTGAGAGACACAGGAGTAAGTATGCAATAAAACATGAATGGTAAGTATGGTGACAGGGTCCTTGTGGTGACGGATTAAGAATACAGAGCGTCACCACCATTATACATCCAGTGGGTAATCTTGGCTAATCTTACGACTAGGAGCCGACTAAGGGAGAAAACTATGCAGAACAACAGCACTGCGGTTGAAGGAAAACTTGACACAAACCCTATACCAACCCGTCTGCCCACGGTATAGTAGGCCAAAACCTCTTTTCTTAGGAAAGGCTTATGTCCAGCAGTGGACTATTAAAGGCTGTTGATGATGAAAATATGGATTATTTAAATAAAATTAACAAACAATTAACAATTTTCAATGTCTCTGATAGTGAGGTTACAGTGATACTACACATAACAACAAGATAACAGCAGAAATTGCCTTTTAAAATGTTTATTTTATACTACACAATAAGTCAAAAATAAAGTAAGGTGTGGCATTTTAAAATAAGGTTGGAACCTTTATTTGTATGTAGTAGTACCAGCAAGATTTTCCTTTTTTTTTTAAGAAATTAAATATTTGAAATACATATACCACTATATATTTATAACTTAAACTTCCACATATCAAGAAACCATCTGCTCATAACTAAACTTATACTTTTATAACTCAACCTTTTTAATTTTTTCCATTGGAAGGAACAATATTGTTAAAGAGAAAAAGAAGTGATTTTTTTGGTTACTAAATAACAAAAAAATCACTTCTTTCTCTTTTTTTTTTTATTTGTTTTTTTTTGTACACATATTTTTTTACAGATATTTTTTTTAAACTAGAACAGTAAGTTGATTGTAGATGTTAATTAAAATATTTTACTAAGATTAAGCAGCATTAATTAACTGTTCCATAGTGTTTTATTTATCATTCATTGGTCCTTGTCTAATCAGTATTGCTTCCTCAAATGGTATGAATAATTTTGTGCAATAAATAGTAAATTAAATAAGTGTTTTTCATTTATATGCATGATTACCTCACCTCTAATTCTCCACTAAGAAATTGTCTCTCAAATTCAGCATTTTCACCAACATAAGATGCAATCATTCTTTTAATTTGCTTGCTCTTTAGCAAAACACCCAGACCAAAATTTTCAACACCTGAAATACATAATTAGCGGATTTAATAAAATAAATTTGAATTTAAGTAACATTAGAAATATATCAATCTTGTTAGTTACAGGACGTTCATATGTTAAAGTTCTAATAGATTGATAATGTAAATTACTTCAGACTTTGTATACACAAATATATATTACTTATTGTTTAATGACCTAATTATAGTTTAAATATATCCCAATTATAGTATATTTTTCAGTCTAATTAGTTTATTAATAGACATAATCTTAAAATGATTGGTTTAGGAATTATTGTGATTAAGAAAGTATAGAATGTTTTATAATAAAATTGCCCTGCGCCAATCGCGTTAATATAACCATAGTCACAGGTGGATTCCCAAAGTGATAAATATATGTTTTGGAACTTGAATGTTTAAAAGTAAGATATAATATGAAATTTAATTAGGTATGCATAGTTAAGATGTCGGTTACAATTTAGTTGTATGTGTTAGTATTATTATCAATTATTATCACATTTTTGCATAAAGTGTAAAATAAAATAAATAAATAAATATTTTTCTGTATCATATTAATTTGCTAATTACTTATGCTAATAGAAAATATATTATTTTTATAATAATACCAGCATTGTTGGACACTACTGTGAGCCCTGATACTGATTTTTTGTTTAAGGCTGAAATAAGATTTTCTGGGATTCCACACAATCCAAAACCTCCAACTAATAGTTTCGATCCATCTTGTATATCTTTAACTGCTTCACCAGCGGTTTCATAAATTTTATTATTTCGGGATGCTGTACTATAATTAACAGTAGCACACGATATTATCTAAAAATTAAAAAGAATCATGTCTTTCACTTCCAAGATAAAAAAAAAGTGTCAAGATTAAAAACAACAAAATCCAAAAATTTTACAAAGTTATCATATTACCTTTGCAACAGTCCCAACATTCGATTTGAATGTTAAAACACGTCCCACAATTAATGCAGCCATGATTATAACTCCACTATTATCTGTATAATTAAAATAAAACTAGTAGAGAACTTTTATCAAGTACGTATCACACGTACAAATTTTACAAAGCACAGCATTTAATCTCAGGTAAATACCTACTTAATTTGGGTAATAAAATACATACTACTAATAATTTATGATTTTTTAATGATAATTCCTCATTTTAATTAAAGTATAATGAAGTTTTATTTAAATTAAAATAGCACTTAAATAAAAACATCGTAGATACTACATTAGTTTAAAAATGTCAACACAAAACTGACAATGACAGTGTTATGTATACGTACCTTAACTCTAGCTTTTGACTGTGTTACCCTTCACGATAAACTGTTCTAGATAAAGTGATGAAGTAAACTGAGAGCCCGTTGTTTGTCTCACAGCAGCAAGGTCAACGGGCAATATAATTATATTCAAGAATTAAAAATTCACAGCTTACATAATTCATAGTAGGTACATGTCATCGCATTAAAGCAAAACAGTATTAGTCAACTTCTCTTGGATACTTACTCAAGTTAGTGTTATAAGTGAATTAAAAATTCATTGGTGTATAAAGTAATCAGTGAATAAGTTGATTGCTGTTTAATTTGTACATCAAATCACAAATTCTCATTTTCATAAATACCTGTAAATACTTACAATTTTATCAGTATGTTGAGATAACTATACAAAAACATGTGTGTTAAGCTACGTCACAAGTTGATAACCGTACATACAGGAGGTTAATACAGACAATTTCATTTTCATTCATTAGGAACATTCTTCATTTCGTGAATAGACCTTTTTGTTTTTTTCACGCGGGGTATGAAGATAAGAATACTTCTTCTGAATTTCGCGAATAGACCTGAAGAAGGTTCTCCTTTAAATCGTTATTAATAACAAAAAGGCATGGTACATCAATGTGATATACTTACATTACTAATTTATTTCATGATAAAAGAAGTTAGAGCATTTAAATGTATTAGATTGCTAATGTTTACTATTAGCTACCTAATAGTTACTAGTAAAACGAGCGCTTTTCTTAGAACAAGATCAGAATCCACAAAAATGTTGTAACTTATATTCATCAAACAACCTGTATGTATTGTATATTTACGTAGAGTGTGTGTTTGTGTCTAATTAATTACTACAATAAGTGATTAATGAGTGTAGGACGCCCACAGGTCAGGTTGAAATGATAATTTGGGCAAGATAGCTGGCCGGAGCTGTATGCAAGAAGCCGAAAATCGATCTAAGTGGCGTTTAATAGGAGTAGCCTCTGTCTAGCAGTGACCTGCGATAGGCTGATGATGAAGATGAATTGCCAAAAATTTTCACCCTTCACAGTCATGTGGATATCTCTCCTCATTTTATTCCAGTCAGAGGATCGTCAACTCAATTACTCCCTGAGTGATAGCATGTAATTTAATTCTGTTATAGCACATACAAGTGCTGTTTGATCGTATCCTAACTATCGCTACGGTGAAATAAAACTTCGTTATAATATAATCGCCACGTAATTTAATGTCTCGAACAACGGACAAAACAGTTTGCTCAGTCACAGCTGGTTAGAAGGCGAGTGCCGGCGGCGATCCTCATTCGCGCTGTCGCTCGTCGCACCCCGCACTTCGCACCCTCTCCCGGACAAACCCGCAGGAGGACGCGTAAATAAGTGCCGTACACTAAATTGGGGGCGTATTGTTGTGTTCCCGAAAATTTCACAGAAAATGTCTGAGCAAACAGTCAAGCATCAAACCCTCAACACAGTCAAAACTAGCAATTTTGAAACTTTTGTTTTTTACTTGAGAAGTTTGAGGCAAAAATGCAGTTGCTACAACTGCAGCTGTAGCTGAGATTACTCTATAAATCGTAGTAATAGATCAGGGTTGTCCAGTCAGAGGCACTATACGGTGCAACGGTGTGAGCGGCAGCTATGAGCGCCCAGAATAAGGCGCGCCTTTGAAGATGCTAACCCTCAGAGGGTGGTGGTGGACCTCTCCCATAAGATTTAAAGGCGGAAATAAAATAAGTGGGTAAAGGTCGCTTGTCGAGCCACAATGACTCGTTGTTCGTCCCGGCTGGAGGCTTAATGTACTGGATTTAGCGCCGTCGAGGCCGACCAGCCGGTTACCGTCTTGTGCGCAGCACGGGACTCTTTCCTGATGCTGATGATAGCGGCGATAAGACCCTTTATGGAGGTTTGGCTCGAGAGAAAACACAGGACACTCTCATAGCGGCTGACGCAGGAAATCACCTGTGTCTGATCCGCAAGGAACCAACGCTTGGGCGGCCATTGCGGTGTCCAGAGCGTAGACACGGCGCTCTCAACGCTGCTAGAATCCCCGGTGCGGCGTGGGTGGAACAGAGCCGTGGCCTTGTGACGGCCATCGAAGTGAGGATTTTCTAACTCGGTACCATGATTGCAGCCATGGTACGGAGCGATGGCGCGTGGAACTCCGCCACCTCCTTCTGCGAACAAGTTGTGCTCGAGAAGGAGAGGGTGGGTGGTTAGAAAAAAACGAGTTTAAATTTTTCAGTACAAATCGGCAATTTCATACTCCTATACGTCCTGAAGAAGTGTTCATTAGCTCGTTAACGATTTCCACAATATTACTATCTATCTATCATTGATGATCGATTACGGCATCATCTATATTTTATGTAAATAAAAGCAAAGGCCGACAATGCACTTGTGACGCTGGATTTGCAGGTGTCCATAGGAAGCGGTAGTGACTTACTACCAGGTGATCCGCTGCTCGTTTGCCCCTGTGGCGACTCCCACATACAAAGAAACAAAAACATACTACAGCGCCATCTAATGAAGACACACCGAACTACGGAGTAACTACTAAAATAAGAATTGCTAATCCTGTATCGCGATATAAAGAATTCCCTCGCCGATTAGCATATGTACAACTTACCAACATCAACCGTTAGGGGCCGCGACCCGCCAGGCATGATCACCTCGCCTGGTCGGAGGATCCTCCCTTTGTGTTGGAGGGACATGACACCCGTTCCTCCACACCCCCTTATACCATAAAATAAAATAAAATTTATTTTTAAAGCTATTTGAAACTCCTATCTACCTTAACAACCTCATTTTTCCTGTTTTTAGATCAAACAAGTAGGTAGGTAATCTATGACCTCCTCTGCCCTTAAGTCAGTAAAAATCTTGTTGTATATTTACATATATTCAACTTTAATTATATAACAACAGTTTTTGTACGGTAATACATCTACACTTACATTATAATGCGATTTAAAAAAATCTTTCATTAATGGAAAGCCACATTATCAGCGAGTAACATAGGCTACTTTTTACCGCGATAACCGCTAAAGCTAGTTAAATAAAGGTAGTAAAGCTAGTTTAAAATACAATATAGGTAAATAAAGCTAGTTTAAAATACAAAATAGAAATATGTGCTTCCTGGTTGTTAACTAATGTTACTTAGGAATGTTTAGCCCATGAGGGGATGTTCCTAGAGCCTTAACGATCACAGAACAAACTCTTTGAGCTTCAATACAGTCTCCGTCCCATTGCCCATCCAAGATTTGCAGAATACCTATCCCTTATTCCCTCGCCTCATCGCCTTTCCTTTCCCCGAATACATATAGGAGATACCACGAAGGTCTGTTTCAGGCAGTGCTAGCCCTAAAAGACACTATCAAAAATATGCGTTCCTAATAATTATAGTTTGTATGTTCCGATACAGAACCCTGAAAAGTGGGTAGCACTTTTGCCATTTCAGCAGGTGTATCCACTTTTTGCAGACTCATGAACTAACAGTTCCTTAATCGTCACATTGAAAGCAGGATATTAGTTCATTGAGTGTAATTACTCACTGCACTTTACTACAGTAACGCTTGTGTTGTGTGTGTGTTGACCCAAATCTATTCATACTGAAGAGTAGACAGATCGTTGTCTGTGTCGTCATAATGTTAATTTAGATGACTATTGCTTACTATTATTAACACGCTAACATAACCTGTTTATCTACATTAAACATTATGACAAAAAAACGGATGCCTCGGCACCGGTTTTCTCGAACTGTCTTGAAGTAGGTACTAATTCTGGTGGTCTAGCTGGAAGCTCAGCTACACCGATTTAAATTTGTAATGTATCCGTTGGCTTTTTTACCCTTGTTTTGTATCCGTGCGGTATTTATTTATTCAAGTCATCAGTTTTGTAATGAGACTTAAGTTGAACCGCTCTAACCTGCTTGATTAATTTTAAATTTTTTACCCCCCTATCCATTTCTATAAGCAATTGTCGTTTCTTTTAATTGGCTGCCAATTTTCAAATCATTCATGCCCAAATTGACCAGCTGACGGCAATATGCTTGTCTTCTGTTACGTGAGTAACAGTGAGTGAGAAAAATATTTTGTATTTTTGAAATTATATCGTCAACCGCTATGTCAATACACGTGTGTGCACGTTAAAAAAAATTGAGCCGTCGAAGGTCGCAGGTAATATTTAAAATCTACGAAATTAATTACGTTGCTCCTGGACAAAGAAGAGAATGTGTCTTATATATAAAATACAGTTGAAAATATAATAGTCCTGTAATGTAAAAATGAATCACATCTCACAATCGATGTTTCACATCTGACAGACGTCTGGCAGATGTGAAACATCGAAATTATTTTGTAGGAATAATGAGTATAAAAGGCCGTTTATGTAAGGTAATACTTTCTTACAAAAGCACAATAAAAAATATATTATTATGCGCAGAGTCATTTACACTTGGCGTCTCCACACAGCTTTACATGTTACAAATACTATCCTATAGCATGGCGACGCATACCGTGTAGACACAACAGCCGTTTGTCAGGGCTACGGTTTGTGCGATATACGGTGCTGGTATTATTAGTGTTGAATGGTTTCGTCAATATTCGAATGTTAGGTTATTTCATGGCCAGCGCCATCCCCTGATCTAAACCGTATGGAAAACGTATGGTGTTCAGTGGCTTCCATGAGTCAACGTCTTCATAGTTGTATTATA